CATGTGGAACATCAGAAATAACCAAAAATTCATTAGAAACATAACTATTAATTTTTACCGTTTTAGTACCAGAACATAAATGAGATTTTAGATTTTAACAAATTAAAAAATATACCATGAATACCAAAAAAAGATAATTTATATAACAGAATATGATGATTTACTATTTACCTTATCAAACGCTTTTTAAAAGACTGTCCAATTGAACACGTTGATTTAAGGCCGAAGGATTTTTTCCTGAAAAAGCAAAATATTTGTTGAAATCGTGGGAATATTTTGAAATATTAGATGCCAAAGATAAGAAGAATTGTAGCACCCAATTAAAAATATGCCCAAAGTTGAACGAAAATTGTGTAAAATTATTAAAAATATGTTTAAAGATGTGTGTGTCTTGCAACACAGGTACCTATATAAATAGGTTATTGGGTAATATAAATTAGTACAATTTTATGTTTTTTTTCTTTACAGATTTTTAGTAAATCTATCAATGGCTTAAAATTGTATTAAAAAAACACAATGTAGAAGGATTGATTGTAGATTATAATAGATTTTTGTTTAATTTTTAATGGTCTATTTGATGCATTAAATGTATGAATTTCTGTTCAAGGTATTAAACCTGGATCAAAAAATTATCAAGTTTGTTGGATTTAAATCGAGCGAGTATTTATTAGCTTTTATGCTTTTGTGGTATCATTTGTTTATTATATAGCAAATTTAATATTATTTAAAAGGAAATTACATACAACATATAATGTAATAAAATAATACAATTAAAATACTAACTTATGTCACATAATCTGTTCTTAAAAATTCCATTATGATTTGTGTGCTATGTGCATGACGCCTGTAATAATTTGTTCAATATTTATAGCTTAACTATTCAACTATTTGATCTAGCTTGCTGTTGAATGTCTAATAACAATAATACTATTATTTGTGTTAAATGTATGTGTATTATATATTAATTGTCTATTTGTCTCTAGTTAGTTGTTAATATCATCTATATATAGGTAGACGTGAAAATTACTGTAACAAAAATCTTTAAATTCTATCTAAAATATAATAAAYGTCTAATCTAATCATCAAAACATTKAAATAGAACAAAGTGTAAAAGCACTTAAATACGTTCTATATGTGACAATATAGGTTAGGTTAATTTATATTCATTCTATATTAATAACAAATTAAATACATTTTTCAAAGTTCAATTTATTTAATTTATTGTGTAATCATAAAATAACTATTGTTCATTTTACCAGTTGTACCTAGTCAATTTTTAATAAATAATGTTGTATCCATATTATGTTAGTCTTGTTTATAAGTTATAACATATTTTMWAAAAAAAAAATATGTACAAATATTCAAGAAGTAACCAATAAGAATTAATTATAAATGATTTTATAAATGTTTAAAAATGTATTATTCAGTAAATATTGAACTAAGAGCCATAGTTGATACATGAAAATTACTTAAAAAAATAGGCCTATCCGAATATGGTGTTAAAAATATGTGTGCATGCGCARACAAAATTCTCAAAAAATTTTGAAATGTAATATGTATCAAAAAATGTGTATTCATATACCACCAGTTTGTAAAAGAAAATCCGGCCGAGAAATTCAGTATTTCCTAAATCGGTGAACACACAGTATACATACAGGCTGTGACACAGAAAGACCAGATTTAAAATAGTTTATGAACATTTTTATTGTAAATTATCAACATTTAAAAGTATATTTAAAATAATTAAAAATATTAAATATAGCTATTTATAAATATACTAATTTTAAAAGTATTTATTAAGAAATAAATGCTAGAAAGTTCAACTTAATATGATTATTAATTTTTATTGATTATTGAATAAAAAAACTTATTCCTAATTATCAAAAGCTATTTAAATTATTTTTTCAATATTATTAATTAATAAATATAATATCAATATTATTATTTATTTTTGAACAGTATCGACCTTCTCAATCCAATGATTGAGATTGATATTTGGAATGGATTGAGAATTACAACGCTGCAAATCAGGAGTTGTAGGTTTATAAAATACTCGTTTCTGCATCATTGTGATATTATCACTGTTATCACAAAAGATTCTGGCAAGCGACACTTTTCTGATTTCCGCCAGTTGATCTAAAATTTTAAAAAGTTGGTTAAAATTAAGCCCATTCATTAAAATTATTTCAGTTTAACTTACATCTGTTGAATACTTTGGGTAGATCATAGAAATATCTATCTGCAATTCTAGTTCTTACAAACTGTTCTTTGATGATACACCTCATCGTAGGGCCAACCATTGCATCATCAGCATGTTTCTCCAACAATACTCCAACCAATAAATCTATATCGTTCCAACTTGAGTACTGCTTCAATTTTTCGGTCAACTAAATATAAAATTTGAAAAGAAAATATCAGTGTAGTATATTATTATTTCAAATAATACCAAACTTACATTAATTGGATTCATGATCTCCAACAAATCTTCTTCATTTTTTATGTCTTTTAATCCACAATATTTTCTAAATTSTGTGTAGCTAGGAATACCGTGATCACGGYTCCGTTGTATATCCAAGCTGAATATGTCAAATCCAGAAAAATAATAAGGATCTGATTTTGGACGGTGCATGTATAAGTAATTGGTTAACTAAATAAAAAAATAAAAATGGAAAATAGAAAATGTAAACAAATAAATATATATTATGTACTTAATACAATYATCATAATATAAAAATCATTAACTCTGACAAAGTAAAAAAAAAAATGTTTCTTCAATGATGTCGTTATTTTGTTTATGTTGAAAAATCCTACCTGTGTTGAAAATCCCATATGGACTTTAATTGTATTCTGGGTAGATAGTCCTCTTACAAGTAAATCCAAATAATGCACCATTAAATTAWTCGGTTGATTGTAATGATTATTTAGATCAAGATCCCCATTCTTTTCTCGTTCTTCCGAGTATAAACTAAAAAACATATTCAAACAAATAATCATACACAGGGACACTACTAAATTTGATGATTCTCTTTATGCAAAAATTCACACTATTTGCCATCTCAACAAATTATTTTGTTATTACTTATTAGTAATACAATTTTAGATTGGCCTTTGTGGCTTGATTACTTTTAAATCTATATTAAACATAAATATTWAAAAAMAWAAATAAATTTATGTTAAAATAAAATGAAATATCAATTGTTGAAGAAATAGAATTATTTATTTAAAAGAAATTGTAGATAAGATAATTTGATTGACAATGTTTATTATGCACTCCCCTGAATTCATAAATTTATAGTACCTAAACTAAAACTAATTACATTTTTTTAATATGATATAGATAATCATTAACCATAAAATATATATATTTAAATTTTAAGAAAAGAATTCCACTCCAAATTTTGAAATGGGTCACCATTTAAAAATTAAAAGCCAATAACTGATTAAGTACAATATATGATTAAAAAATCAAAGGCACAAATCACCTAAAATGTTTAAGTGGGCAGAAACCCCAACCTAATGTATTCTAAAAGTATTATGTCTACTAACTTTTAAATTGAACAGACTGTGAACATTAGGCTAACATTTTCCAAAGAAAAAATTTAGAATAAAAATGATTGTTCATATATATAAGTAATATTTTTGAGCTTACTTGATTTTATCACTGATCATGGAATTGCTGAAGGGTAGGATCGCAGTTGCAAAACTATTGCTGACGGTCGGATCTATAGTCTCGTTGTACGCGTTGCTATACCCTTCTGTCAATAGTTCCAACTGGTTTTGCCTGGTATAATTTTCACCGAGCAGAGCCGGCAGCCATTCAGCATACGTGATGTGCTGTATGGATCCTGTTACGATTTTCCTGGCTTCCTGGAAAATGCGTTCGTCGCCCCAGTGTGGGTTAATGTGGGCCAGCTGTTTGGCCAACCGGTTGTGTTCTCTCACCCACAGTGTGTGCATAACGGTCAGTTGGGGAAATCCGTTTGCACGGGTATCACCTGCCCTGTAGCACGAGCCTTCACCATACTGGCAAGCGTTTGGATCACTTTCCAGTGGCATATACCAGAACAGTGGCAATTCGCCTTGACTTTTACTTAATATGTTTGTCAACAGTTGACCGTTCAACTTGGTCCTCAACGACCACATTTGTTGTTCTGTAGAACCGTAAATCATTGACCCATCTAAATAATGAGTAGCTTGGTTCATCTGTAAAACATAAACCTATTAAATATATTATTTCCAGTGACTTTTGGCAGATTCACAACATCAATTACCAACTTTAAAGGCTTAGAAATTATGAACATAAAAACTTAACACAAGTTAATCAAATTGACAAAATGTGCAATACAACATCTTCTCCCCAAAATAGCCTACAGAGCGTAATTTTTAATTTAATTTCATAATTATCATAAGAAATATTATATAAGCTTAGAGAATATATTATCTTATAAAACTGTTACTTGTTCCCTGGGTCCAAATGTACATTTTGGTGGCATTGCTGGTACTGAACGCACATAGTTCATGCAAGTTATTCTTGAACGTAGTGGAATAAAAAAATAATCTTCACTACTCATCTCTATTGGCATACACAATTTGTGTCTCAGTGAAGAAGGTAGATCTGTTCCGTTTCTATCATGACAACAATTCACCAATTTTTTAGATTTCCCTATGGATTAAATAATACATATACAACCATTAATTGTGATTCATCAGTTTATACGGTAATGTATATAATCCTACTCATGTTGGACATAGCCGTGTGTGATAGATCGTGGCCTATAAAAATCGCCCAGTACGCCATCGCCATAGTTTTTATGGGGTCAGGAGCGTGGTCTTTTGTGGCAAGTGCATTACTGAGATATCTAGGTTTTGGTAGATCTATAGTTCTAACCGTGTTAACACCTGTATGAACAATGAAGTAAATAACATAATAAAACGTCATGTTTATAGCAGAAAAAGCTAAAAAGAGAAGTGCTATGTATAATTTAACGTCTTTTTTTTATCAAATATATGTAATAGGAAATGTGTATCACAAAAAAATTAAGAAATATTACCATCTAAGTAGACGGGAGGTAGCAAACGTTTATAAGCTGTGGTTGACTTTCCCAATGTGGAACGTTTTAAGTTGTTACAAGTACCGTCAAGGCTACGATACATTAAATTCTTTCCAATGCACGCAGTTTTATCAGTTAAGTTGTAATACTCGGACAAACATATCTCACTCAAAGATGTCTTATCTAGTTTTATTTTTGTTAATTCTTCGGCACATTGTATAGCGCTAGTCCTGTATCTGAAATGGTAATTTAATTTATACATTAAAATTAAATATACTTGTATAATATATTCTTTTTCATTGAGATATTTGTTGTATGTTTATACATTTGACAATATTTATTGTTTATAAGTTGTGAAACTTCAATAATAAGTTCAGCATTTCGATATGCTGGATATCCGTCTCTGAAAAACTGAGAATCAATGAGTTGTGCACGAACTGGGTTCGACGGATGTAAAATATGAATATTAGCTGTCATCAAAAAATTTTCAACAATATAATCTTCATAATCAAAATTTTTGACAGCAGATTTAATTTCTTCTTCTATTTCTTCAATTTTGAGGTTTAAGAACCAGTTTGTTGAGTTTATATTCAAACCATCTATATAAACAATTCAATTTTTAAACCAATTTTTATAAAAAAAATTTTAACTTAAGCTATAATTATGATTTATACCTTTACAARCAAATTCTTTATTCCATTGAGATTCAGAAYCTGGTTCTGAAGCATTACAATGCTGTTTCAATCCTCTACAATATGATTGTAAGAATACCGACATATGAATCAACAAATGTATAGATATCAAGAACCTCATTCTGCTAATTATAAACTGTAATCATTGTACAAAATATATAWTWATGAACTCTATATCTAAAATTTAAATTATTTAAGAGATGTAATATTGGTAACAGTAAATAAATATATTTAAACACCTATACTCCTCATAAATTAATCATTAATATATTAACAAGAATAATTTGTTTAAAGGTAACAATCAATAAGTTTATTCATACATTGGWTTATTTTACTATACATAGTAATAAATAATACACTATTATACCCGCTATTATACTAAACCAATTTTAAATCCCGAATAAAGCAATACTTATTATATATTTGTATGTAATGTTCTGTAACTATTTAGGTATTAGATTTTTTTAYAGTGAGGAGTGTATACAAAGTTTAAATCATAGACAAGGAGAACCGGCTGTGCATATTAATAAGGATGTAGAAAAAGAAATAATACATATTTTAAAACTTATAATGAAAAAAGGAATACTCAAGAACTTTGTAAGATAATATATGCAAATTACTTAWTACATGTATATCCATGTCACAACAATGTAAAAAATTATTWTAAAAATACGAAATTACAAATTAATACAAAAACACAATTATTATAAGTATTTACTCCAGTGAGTACTCTACCCTTCTCAAACCATCACAGAAAAGCCAAACGACAACAGCCCGAGTTATTATAAATGTTATACGGGAAAAGTATATCACCGGTTTTTTTTWATTTATAAGTAAATTCATACTTATTGGTTGGTAAATAAACATATAGTACTCACCAGTATTGTTTATTTTTTTAATGAACAGATTCTTTCTTCAACAACTATCTTGCATTTGAATTTCGATTAATTTTGTTGTTAAACACTGAGATTACTTATCCAATGATTGAGATATTTTAATTAGGTACTTCTAGTTTATTGATGCATCAAAAGGCCATGATGGAGAGACAACTAACCAGTTGTAAATATTCTTATCTTCTGACGAGCAGAAGCAGTAAGGTTAGGTTACACTGAAAATAGGCCTCAATCTTACCGGTGTGTTAATATTAATTTTATATAGTAGTGACCATGAACATTTTAATTTAAAGGCTCTCGCCCACGGTGATCTACAGATAATTATTATTGTAGATAACCGTGCTCTCGCCTATGGATTTTATATAAGAAACAACTATTAGGCAATTTCTAATCTGGTCAGCACTATACTCGAGATCTATTTGTTAATTCTTAGTTGTAAATTATTTTTTTAATAATTATAGTGAGAGTACCGACGGATGCAACTCTTGTACAGACACGCAGTCAGTAAACTTCACTATAGGAACACCACTATATTATACAGCTACAGGTTGTCTTGAAACTAGCGTTGGACCGATCTATAGGTCCTCGTTCAGCCGCATCGAATAGCAATGCGTCGAKCACRTAAATGCTTGTCAGATCATTCAATCAGACGGCGTAGATCAACGGATCGAGTATCGTACAAGAATATCGGATCAGACAAAAGCACGTTGTGAGAGCACACGAAATTTAAAACAACAACGGCCGGGCAGTATATACCACATAGAACACGAACGTCACGCACGAGAATAAACGCTCATACACACACGCAGCGCAGCTGCTCGCCGGCGGAGGCCAAGATAGTGTAGCCAACATTGCGGACGCGAATCGTGGCGTCCACAACACAGTCTGGATAACAATACGGCTTCAGACAGTCAGTGGTCGTGGTCTCCAATCGGCGGCACGTTTAAACGATTAAAAGGATCGAACGCGAATTTCACAGTAACTTATTATTTAAAAAAATCTGAAATTTCGTATCTGTTATCCTTAAAATAAAAACCACCACGAGGACCATTAAATGAAAATTTTTACAATTACAGCTTTGAAAATTAATTAAAATACGATTATCTAAATATTGTTACCAAACAAATTGTCTAACTGCTATCATCATTCCGTGATTTCAAAATGGAATTGTAATACTTTTCGTCTGTATTAATTTGATTTTAATTCTGAAAAAAGATATGAAATTAGAAGAAAACTGTTTATAGATTGTACGAAGCACTTTAGATTTTTCATTTTTAGTTTTGATTACAATAATAATATGATAAAATCCATATTTTAAGATTTCAATCATTGATCAAAATTAAATATTTTCAGTGCTCCATTTAATGATCTGTAGATATTTATTGTCTACTGAATTAAAATTTTTCTAGAATTAAAATCAAATCAATACAGACGAAAAGTATTATGATTTCATTTTGAAACAACGGTAGTAAGTTATAGTTAGTAATATGTGTATTAGTAATAATATTTAGATAGGTAATCGTATTTTAATTAATTTTTATAGCCATAGCTCTAAAAATTTTAATTCAATGGGCGATGGGCCTTGTTATGACTTTTATTTAAATGGCAGCTAGATAAGTAATTTCTAATCTTATATCGTACCACTCGTAACTCGGTAACGACGGTAACCGCCTGGGATTAGTCGTAAATTAGTTATAGTATGAGAGACTGTAGAAATTTGAAATTTACACCAATATTTATTTTGTCAATTATTATAATTGATAAAATTTTCTAGTTATTTAAAGATATTTGAAAATTATTATTATGAAAGTTTGAATCTTTTAATTATGTCTGTGGTAAGATTTTAATTTTATTAAATTATAAAAATGTATTCTATATTTTTTTCTATAATATAATATATCAATTTTAATTCAATTTTTTTTTGTAACTTTTATGCATGTGTCATTGCTGTTAAATCGCATTTATCTSGAGATTAATATCAAACTATAATATTTTGAAAACTATGGTTGATAATATCAAAAGCGAAATTGGTAAATTGGATCCCAAATGACCATAGCTCGGTAAATTGATTCCCGAGAAGAAACAGGTACCTACCTAGTAGTTAAACTGAGTCTAACATCAATATTTAAAACAAGCAAACATTAAACAACTAATATATATTAATCTATTAATTATTAATTATTTAATAATAATTTATAATTTTAGACGTTACTCCATCGACTTTTATTTTTATTTCTCTGGTTCGATTATCGATCGTAACTATTAGATATTTGGTTCGGTTCGATTATTTGGAATTTCCAGTTTGGTTCGGTTCAAAAATCGAACAGTTCGTAACATCTCTATATCATAATAATTTTTTTTATTGATTTTTATTTGTAATATTTTTTAATTAATATAAATTAAGTAACCTAACCTAGTATAATAGTATAATCTTATGATATTTGGTTTTTAGTTTTTTAATTAGTAGCTCTAGGACTTTTTAACGGGACCAACATAACTACTACCTGTTTTTTTTTTCCCAGGACTCAATTTACACCATCAAAAATGTACCAAACTTATATCACACCCAATTCGCCGAGAATTAACCAGAAACCAATAAAAAAATTAATTTATATTAAGTTAAATGTAATATGCAATCTTTCAAATTTTAATCTTCATCCAGTTGTATTAAAATGGCTTTCTGACAATAAAGGCATTATTAGGTTTATCCACGTTCCTTACATCGACAATAGTAAAACATGTTTTCCAGGCATCAAGTCTAGGCAAGACAGCTCATGACTAATGAGGCTTCATAAATAAATCAATCACATTTTAAATGATAGATATATCATAAATAAAATAAAGTATTTTTGAAATGTTGATATTAATATTTATTTTAAGATTTATTTTTCATATGCATATTTTTTTAAGTTTGTAACATCAGGAGGACAACCTAGGCGTTTGCAGAATACAGCCCGTGGATCCTAATTCTGGCAGCGGTGTGCTCTGTGGTGTCTGACAATAAAGGGCAGTGCATGCAGTGGGTGGACTGCTAGCTCTTCCCATAAAGAGAGGTATATATGATCACCTCGCCTTTGGAAACCTGTCTTATTAGTTATTAATTTATTATGAACGTTATAGGCTTATTATCCTGTACGCAAGCCAAAAAAATTAATAAAATAAAATTTAAAAACACAATAGGTAATAAAGATATGGATAGGACATTAAGATCTTATCAGCGGTAATTAAAGGGTACCAATCGATGCACAATAAGTATATCTATAACGAATGTCGACTATCAACATAAAAACATTAATAAAAAGGGCTCGATTGACTTCCCCTCCGGGAACGTGGCCTCAAATATGTTTTACATAGTCGTGGCCTATCCATAGACCTTATACTATATATTATACTATATTACTTAGTATAAGGTCTATGGGCCTATCCATATCGACCATATCTTTACTATTTATAAAAAACACAAGAGTCATTGTARTATCAATACATTCAACGCTCCGCTCAGAATCTAACATAATATATACCAAATATTTATAATTATTTACCATAATAATTCTATCGCAAAAAAATAAAATAAGGGGCTCAAATATGCAACTCAATAACCATCGTATAATCAATCGCTAAGCAATCCCAGAAATCCTTTAAAAAGACGCCACACTCGCATTTTTTGTTCCAGTCTTCAGTGGCACAACTAGGGCTGGGAGGCTAGAGGGGGCTTAGCCCCCTGACTATGATTTAGCCGCCCCCCCCCAAAAAAAATTTTTTTAATAATTTAAATACTACACGTAAAATTGTTTGTTGTCACTTGGAATAATGGAATTGGAAAAAAAGTTTTCAAGTAAAATTATAGACAAGAGATTACTATTATCTTTGATTAATAAATTATATTATTCAATATTGACCCACGGCTATATAGATATATAGATATTAGATAATTTATGGCAGTGTTGAATTGGCCGAAAAATATCTATTTTTAGACTAGGATTGTGGGTTTTACGCTATCATATAATATTAGTTATTGTAAATACAACATTTATTATAAAATAGTCTAATATATTTACATAACATAGGTTAAACTTCATTTATATGTAAAATTTGAAATATTTATATAATAAATGAATATTAACCTACTTCCCTTTTGCTCAAATCATAATTATATTTTAAAATTTTGGTAAGTGATTTATTAACTTAAGAGTTAAGACTTATTGCTATAAAATGCATTATTATTTAATATTTTTGCTAATACTTAGCTTTCAAATTTTGTTTAGGTGTATCCAAAAACTAAACAAGGAATTCAAAACAGAAGTTTTAGTGCTTCATGGTTTCAAATTGATACTGAAACATTTATGGCAGAAATGAGTGTTGCAAAAAATGCTTTTCAAAATCGGGTATTTGGTGATCCGGAAGAAATGCAACTATCATTAATGACGCTACTTTTCCAAATTTATACAAGCTTCTTGGTGTTGTATATTCTTTGCCAATAAGTAGTGCAACTTGTGAAAGATTATTTATTGCGATGAGGCGAGTAAAAACATGGCTACGCTCAACTATGATTCAAGTACGCTTTACAAATTTATCCATCATTCATATTGAGAGAGACATATCAAACAATATTCATACAGAAAATTTTTTTAATAATTTTGCAAATGCTAATGATAGAAAAATACTATTAATTTATTAAAATGTTACCTATTTATAAAGTTGACTTGTTTTCTTTTTTCTTACTCTTATATTACAGGTAAACTACAAATTAGTTATATATTATAATATTAATACATTTTTATGAAATTAGTAAGATACTATTAGTTGGTGTATAAAATGTTGAGTAGAGTATACCATTTTTATGATTGACTTACATTACTCTACTCATGATAGTGTCATGTACATAAAAAACAAATTGTTGTAAATCTAAATGTTTTTCTCTTGGTTCAGAACCTAAAATGTGTTGTGATTGTATGTAGAGGGGCGGTGGGATGCCCCATATGGATCTTATGGGATGTTTTATATTCATAGTTTTGTTAAAGGGGCTGTAGCCCAGCCCCCCAGAATTTCAACACTAGTTGCGCCTATGCCAGTCTTACAAACGCGTAAGGCATGTGAGTAATTAAAATTTCTAGAATATACTTTATATTTTTATTGTAATAATTAATGTCGTTAATCACTTATATTAATACTTTATATAGTATATTCTATATACTATGAATGTCTGAGTGAGTCGGGTATATAATGAATCTGATTTGATTAATTTTGAATTAATTTTATAGGTACCTAAATTTTTTTTTTAATTTTAATATAGTATAAAATATCCTAGAATAGTAGAACGATAAACAGTCTCCACTCGGAATATTTTTTGATATACAATAATAATACATCATTGAATTCAAATTTAATAAGATCCATTACAGTAACCAACTTGTTACCTACTGTACAGCAAGAGTGACATCCACTTACCCACTTTTTTTCTTATTATTTCCTTAATATAAAATACTATTTTAAAATAGTGATTTGAAGAGGTGGCCCATAGAGAAAACTAGCAAATTTCTGACGGCCCAATCCACCATAGGGTGACAAAATTTTTCTAAAAAGTTACAAAATCATGATGTTAAATTAATTGTATTGTCATGAACAAACTATTTTTTCATTCATCGTTAGTTTTCATAAATCAAACAATTTAATTAGGAATTTATTACTATGTATTATACTATATTACATATAGTAATTATTTTATATCATATTAAATTATATTGAGTAAATCTTCAAAATTAAAAAATAAATGTTTTTATTAACTAACAACTTAACGTTGACTAATTTTAAATACCTAATTCAAATTAATTGTTTTCATTTATGTTATTATTTTATAAGGAGTAATGCTTAGGCAATACTTAAGCTAAATATCATAAATTTGCTACATTTTACTTTCATCACACTGATCACTCTAATGATACAGTTTTAATATTGGTACTTCATTGAACATATTAATATTTTTAACTTTTAAATATTTTTTCTATATTATATATATAGTAATATATGCTATCAATAAAATAAAATAAATCGTATAATTGATTGCAATAAAAAGTTTATATTAATAACCTAACTACTAATGTGATTTAATCAAAAAAATAGCAAGTCAAAATAATTTAGGTTTGAAATTCAAATCACAACTATTATCTACAGTTATTTATTTATTCTTGAACAAATTAAAAATATTCATGGATTAATTTTTTACAGAAGTTAAATAAAATATAATTTCTAGAATATTTGTCATTATAATACTCAACATGGATATATAATTTAAAGCATTGAAAAATATATATAAAATATGTATAAATTATTATTTTAATTACATAATAGAATTACAAAAATAAGAATAAGTGACTAATTTCACTGGTTGGAATATATTCAGCTTTGATCGACTCAGAATATTGTTTATTTATTCTATTAATTTTAAAAAACTAATGAAGCACTTTTGTATATAAATTAACTAGGTATTTAATAATTATAAAAGTTGATATCACCTTTAAGTACTTGCCTACTATTTACTTGTCCAAAATTGATGTTATATATTCATATAAAAAAATAATCTGCTTTTAAAAAAGATAAAAGGAATTTTAATTTAAGTGACCTGTTAACATAATTTTATTTATCAAATATTAACAGGTATAAGTCATAAGATAAGTTATTGAATTTTAA